TGGGACACTGCCTGGCGGCTGCAATGCCCCTGGGCGGGTCTGGGTGGGGGCCTGGGGGCTCGGGGTTTGGGGGTGGCCGGCCCCGTGTGGGGATCTGGGCGGGGCCTTGGGGGTCGGGTCCTGACATGTATGCTGCCGGGAAGAAGGCAGGGACACCCAGCAGTGCCTGGCCCGGGTTCGGGGGCCTCAGGTAGACCTTGGCTCCTCTGCCGTTCCATCAAAGGGGATGGGGAGGTCCAGGAGGGGGAGGACCCAACCTTACCTGGATGTCCCATGTCTTATATATTCTGGAAGTTGTGCAAATGCAGGGGTGGGCATAGATATTCTGCTGGGGTGGGGCTGGGTTGGTGCCCTTGGACTCCGTGAGGCTCTGTAATGCTGCTGCTTTGGGCCCTGGCAGGATGGGCTGGGGTCTCCATGCCCTGGGTGGCAGTTTGACAACAGAGGGGCCTATTGGGGCCAGTAGGGGAGCTGGCTCCCTGGAGGGCTAAGCCCAACCAGCCATTTCTCCCCATCCCCGCATATTTCTCTCCTCCTGCTCCCTCACATCATCACACAAACATACACATAGGACCTTCGGGGGTGGGCAAGTCAGGGAGTGCGGGTATGGACCCCATTTCCGCATTCCTGTGGAAACCTGCCCCCCAATTTTATTTGCACCTTATACACTTCCACTGATGACATTCCACACAAACACACACTTAGGGCCTTGGGAGTGAGCACATTCAACGGCATTTGGCAGGGGGATATTTCAGCCTTCTCCCGAGTGCCGGTGCCCACTTCCAATTTTAAACCGCACTTAAACACTGATGGCTGAGGGTGTAAGTGGGGTGGTGCGGTGGCATCAGCTGGCATATGCTGGATGATGCCCGTACTGCCCACTCACCACAGCCATGGAATACACCTCATGATCACACAACACTATATTGGAGCAGGCGGAGGGAGACTAGGGGTCTTAGCCACCTCTGTTGTTGCTAGGCTTCCTGGGGCTGGAGGCTAGGAGGGAGATCTGGCCATCTGGTTGGGGTCTGGGGTGGTGGGTTGCTGTGCTCAGCGTTGGGCGGGGGAGCCTGCTCATCAGCACCCCAGCAGAAAGGGTCAAACTCTGGTTACCGGTGATGGTTGTACCCAATGTGCAGCAGTACCGGGACCAGAGTGAATAGGGTGTGGATGGGGAGCATGAGTGGGTGTCTGTCGTGCATTTTGTAAGTCTTGGGTTGTATGTGCATGTGTGAGCATGAGGGAGGGAGTGTGTGACTGTATATGTCAGGTGGGGCCTTTGGGTCCTCCCCTCTCCTGGAACTTCTCTTGATGATATAGATCTCTGTCCACCCTCCCCCTGCCACACCTGGTGTGGGGGCTTGTGCCTTGGTCTGCCTGAGTGTTCGTGGCAACCGGGTCTGGGGGTTTAAAGATTTTGGCATCTGCCTGTTAGATCCCGGTGGCTGCCTGGTGGGGTCTGGGTCCCTGGGCTCTGCTGGGTCCCCGGCGGGGGTGGTCGCCCCTGGGTCCCGGGTCGCTGGGTCCCGGGCTCGGCCGGCTAGGGGGTGGGAGGCTGCGGGCGGGCCTGTGGGCTTGCCGCTGATATCTCCGGGGACTCTGCCGGCTGCTGGTTGTGGCCCCCTGGGGCGATCCTCTGTGCCTCTCGAGGGGGGCGGGGGCCTTCCTGGTTGCAGTCTCCTTGGGGTTCCTGCGTTCTGGGGCAGCGCCTGGATCTCTGGGACTTGGAGCTCCCCCCGTCTCCTGCGCATCTTTGGGGGGCAGATCTGTGGTCCCTCACACTCTCTGTTGGGCACTCCTATAGAAAAACCTTAAATAAACAAGCGCGTGTACACACACAGGTGCTCACATTTTTTCTTTTCATCAAGTTGACGCAGTGATAGGTAGATCTTGTTGTATTGTTGTTGTGTCCCTTTTTTGTGTCCCTATGTTTTTTTTGTCTTTTTTCTGCAGGTCTAGAAGCAGACTCTTGTTCATTATTGTTTATTTTTGTGGACCCCCCCCCCCCTCTCTCTCTCCCCACCTTTTCTTTTCCTTTCTCTTTCACCTCTGTCTCCGTGTCTGGTCGGAATTACAAAGCATTCAACAACAATAACAATAAAGTTTTAAGTATCAGGCGTGACATTAAAAGCAAACGCTTTGATGCTCCACCTGAGAATAAATCTGTAAGGCTTGTCACCAGCATTCAGACATCAATTCTGCTTGCTTCACAGCCAGACAGGACACGGTAAAAAAAAAAAAAAAAAAAAAAAAGGATGTCAGAGGCCATCTGAGCCAAATCCTTTTCTGTAGTGGATCACGCTTTGTGCATGCAAAGTCTTCACGTGGGAGAAGGTCAACATCTACATCTACAAATGGCCTTGATTACTTCCTGAAATGTCTGACTTCCTCTCTGCACTGTACAGCACAGCTCCTAAACACAAACTGAACAATGTGGTGTATGCTGTACAGTGCAGCGAGGAATGCCCAGACCTCTACATTAGAGAAACCAAACAGCCACTTCACAAGCGCATGGCACAACATAGAAGAGCCACCTCCACGGGACAGGACTCAGCAGTTCATTTGCATCTAAAGGACAAAGGTCCCTCTTTCGAGGATGCCAACGTTCACATTTTGGACAGAGAGGACAGATGGTTTGAAAGAGGGGTAAAGGGATCCATTTATGTCCACTGTGAGCAACCATCTTTGAACAGAGGTGGTGGTTTACGACACCAACTCTCTGCAATCTATAATCCAGTTTTGAGATCCCTTCCCAGATGCCTCAACGCCCATGCATATCCTGGGCCATCTGACCTCAGGAATTCACATGATAGGGTGGGGCCAGGCTTCACAATGAGCTCACCCGAAACTCTGGCTGAATAGGAACCACACCCACCCCCACACCTTGGCTAGTGTGTTTATGTAGAAGATCATCAGGGGGACTTTTGTTCCCTCTTCTTTGGGAAACTCTCACTGGGTTTCAATCTGGGACTCTCCACCATTTGACCTTAGAACTGAAGAAGCCTCTCAGATGAGAGGTGAAACGTCTTCAAGCAACTCAAAGAAGTCCAGATGCTTTTCTTTCAAAGCTCCTTAGAATGCCATTCAAAAGAAATTTGCCTCTGGCCAATATCTTTAACATCGATGCTGGTGTGTGTATTTTGTCACAGCTATTTTGTGTGTTTGACTCTGTTGGTGAGCTGTACATTTCCTGCTTTTAAATCCTGTAGCCACAAAATGATCAGCATTATCCTTGCGTTTCTATGAGGTTCCAAATGTGCCAAAAATATTAGTCCATGCCTTTGTCTAGTTCATATGTTCACTAGTGATGTGTCGGTCGCGAACGAACCGGCTCTAAGAGCTATGAAGTGAACGACGGGAGCCGGCTCGTCAATGGGACAGAATGCGACTCAGCTTTGCAATGTTCCTGAGATGGAAAAAGGAAGAGCGAACAAGAGAACTGACAGGAGAAACCAGGGTGAGAGCTGGGTTAAAGGTCACACCAAGATTCCTGACAGAAGGTTTGGTGTGAGAAGCAAGCTGACCAAGAGAGTCTCTGACTTTTGGAACCAGCTTGTCTGGGGCACAGATGAGGATCTCAGGCTTCATTCAGATGAAGAAAGCTCCCAGCCATCCAGGTTTTAATAGAGTCTACGCAGGTATGTAACAGCTGCAGCTTAGACATCTCATGGGGCTTAAAGGAGATGTACAGTTCGATGTCATCTGCATAAATATGGTAGGAGATTCATTTAAAGGAGCTCAGGATTTGCTGAAGAGGATGCAGATAGAGGAGGAAGAGCAGAGGCCCTGGAACAGAACCTTGTTGGACACCATGGGTAAGGGAGGTGGTGGAGGACATAAACTTGGAGACGGCCACAGAAAAGGAGTGCTCAGAAAGATAAGAGGAGAACCACTCCAGAGCAGTTCCTGATAGGCCTACCCAGTCTCTCAGCCTCTCCAGTAGCAGGTGATGGTCAACAGTGTCAATGGCCGCAGTCAGGTCCAGCAGGACCAGAACAGAACAGTCCCCTGCATCACTGTGAGTCAGAAGGTCTTTAGAGACCCTAAGAAGATCTGTTTCAGTAGAATGAGCTTAACGAAAACCTGACTGGAAGCTATTATAGATGTTATGTTCATTAAGAGCAGCTGTGAGTTGTTTAGCCACAGCCTTTTCCAAGATCTTGGAGATGAAAGGAAGTTTAGAGATGGGTCTGAAGCTGCTACGGAGAGAGGGGTCAAGACTCGTTTTTTTAAGAAGCGGATGGATTACAATGTTCTTAAAGTAAGCAGGAACCTGACCAGAGACTAGAGAAGAATTAATTATAGAGAGCACGCTGGGACCAATGGACTGAAAAGCACTTTTAAACAAAGATGAGTGTAAGATATCGAGGGGGCATGCAGAGGTCTTCATAGAGATAACTAGTTTGTTAACTCAGGCAAAGAAACAGGAGCAAAGCTATCTAGGATGACGGGCTGGGTTGGAGTTGGAAGAGGCAGAGATAAGGCTGAAGGAGAGATGCTAGATCTAACCTTGTTGACTTTGTCCACAAAGAAAGACAAAAAGTTTTCACAGTCTGCAACAGAGTGGAAGGAGGCCATAGGAGAGGCTGGAGAAATAGGCAACCCTTGCGTCTCTGACTGCAGAGTTAAAGGATGTCAGAAGATCCTTTAGATGCAGCAGATGGACGTGGAGACGGGTTTTGTTCCAAAAGCGTTCAATGTTTCTGCATCGGCGCTTCAGTCTGCAAAGGCTGTCATTAAACCAGGGATTAGGGTTCACTGCAGGAACTAATCTGGTTCTGACAGGACAGGTGTTGTCCAGAATGGAGAGGCAGTGCTCGAAGTTAAGGAATCTGGGTCGTTATCAGAAGAACAGAGTGGGTCAAAAGCACCAGAAAATTTGCTAGCTGTGCTGTTATTAAGAAAACATGAACTAACCAGACGGCAAGCAGGAGGTGGGGATGGAGAAACTGACAAGTTAAAGAAAATGCAGAGGTGATCAGAAATATAAACGTCCTCAGGACAAACACTGTCAGCATTTAGACTCAGGGTAAAAACAAGGTCTAGAGTGTGTCCCTTGGTGTGTATGGGGCCAGAAACATGCTGGGTAAAGCTGAAGCAGTCGATAAGGCTGGAGAAATTCATGGCAAAGTGATCAGAGGCATCGTCAACATGAATGTTAAAATCACCAACAATCACCAGTCTGGACAGCTTCACAGTGGAGGATAGAAAGTCACTAAACTCCTGAAGGAAAGAACTGTTTGGACCAGGTGGTTGATAAACTACAGCACAGTAGAACGGGTCCTTACGCCCGACTTTAATCAGCTGCAGTTCAAAGGAAGCAAAGTGACCAGAGGTTGTAGAGCTACATGGAAGATGGTCTCTGAAAACAACAGCTAGGCCTCCACCACGACCAGAACCCCGAGGCTGGCTAAGAAAAGAATAACCACTCGGGCAAAGTTCAATCAGAGCAGAATAATCAGATGTTTGCTGCCAAACTTCAGTCAGAAACAGAAAATCCAGGTTTTAAGAGAGAATTAGATCATTGAGCAGGAAGGACTTATTGTTAACAAAGCGGGTATTTAATAGAGCCATTCTGAGTGAGGAGGAATCAGAAACTACAGAAACAGCTGGAGTTAGTGGACATAAATTAGCAGGGTTAGATCCACGGTGTTTATAAATACCACTTATGGAGGGAACAGGAGGGGAAACCAGTGAAGAATGAGGATAAACAGACCTTAAAAAACTTGGACAGAGAGACCGCGCCGCAACGTGGCCGGGTGGGAATGCAGAAGTGGCGCTCAGGTCATCAAACAAAGGACACGAAGCTAGAAGATCACGCCGATGTTTACCAGATAAACCATGCTTTAAGAGAAGTGTTATTCCCACCTGGATTCCTGCTCGTTTACCTCTTTTGCTCCGACGTTTTCCTGGGACTGGATAAACATTGCTGGAGGTGTCCTGGTAGGAATCATCGTTTAGTTCCGGGCCAGCGTGCCGCTCAGGTAAACAAACAGGGAGGTACATCCTTGGTGCATCTTGGACGATCGTGAACGAACGGAAGGACAAACGAGTCTGGCGATCATAGGAGATGGTGGCAGGGACACTACCAAAGAGGATCGCAGACAGAAGCAAGGTGGAAAAGAGGAGGTTAGTGGGTAAAATTTTGAGAAAGTGGCCGGTGCACAGGTGTTATCTTGTTACCGACCTCACCAGAGATGAGATAACATGGCCAACAGCTAACAGCTTGACAACCGGCTCTAATGACAGAACAAGGGTACATCAGGTAACATCACGCAACAACATCAGGTAGGACATGGTGTCGTTACTTGAAGTTGTTACTTGGACAATATTTAGACTGGAGCCATGTGCAAACCTGTGTATGAGCTGTATGTTTGGGACGTCAAATGACTGCAGTGCAAAAAATAAAAATAATCATCTATGAATTACAGCTCTTTGTGCTTTGCATTTTGTTGAGGGTGTTCATGCAAAATATATTTGTTTTTCTGTCATTTACAGGGCATGCATAGTGTATAAAGAGCTTCCCATCATGCAGATCACACAAACAACCTGCTGGTCTTGATTTTTGCATCATTTCATCTCCATTGAGTTTGTTGATCTGGACCAGAAATACTGAATGTGCTGCTGAAGAGGTGGGTTAACCGATTCATTGTGCTTTTTGTTTCTTTTCGCCCATGTGTTCAATGAGGTGCAGATGAACTACATAGCATTTAATAAACAATAAAACGTAGACTGTTATGTTCCCTTTTCCAGATGTCTTCCAACTCTTCATTCTTCAACAACTCCTTTCTCGGGCAACAATTTCCCACCTTCAGCTGCTTTTCAACCAGTCTGTTTGTGTACATAGTCGGCACGTTCTGTGTCACCAAAATCCTCCTCCTCCTTCCTCTCTGCATCTTCATCCTCTGCTTTGGCGTCCAACAACTGCAGCTAAAGACCTCAACAATGAGCCACTGTGACAGCTTCACCTACCACCTAGCCAGCATGGAGATGATCGGAACTCTCGGCTGGATTGTCAGTTTTTGTGGAAGCTGCATGAAAAATCGTGCAATATTCAAGTTAGCCTCAGCTTTCTTTCCGAACCCTTGGTATGGACAAATATTCTTTCACACTTTGACCTGCATGGAGCGCTACCTGGCTGTCATTCACCCCATCACCTATGTGACCCTAAAAAATGACAAATGGATCAGAATCAGAAACCGCACCAATGGTTGCATCTGGCTGCTTTGTATTTTTGCAAATGCATTTGTGTCGATGACTAACATCATTTATTTAGAGACTTCCTTGCTAACGTCATCCACAATAATTGTCTTCTACTGCAGCCTGGCGGTTCTCTGGGTTCTGACTCGTCCAGGTCCAGGAGAACTGGGAAACGGCAGAAAGAGGGTTGAACAATCAAAACTAAGGGCTTTCTACATCATTATTGTCTTTTTGATGATACTGATGCTGAAATTATCTTTTGGTCTGATAGCTGCTGGTTTAGAAGTGATGAGCAAGATGGATGTCTGCACAATTACAGAATTGACCGTCTGGTTCAGTCTACCTAGCAGCCTAGTTTTACCTCTGCTGTTCCTAAAAAAACGGAAATATTTGGTGTGTTGCAAGTAAATAAACAGCCAGTAGATAGTAATTGATGTCACCTAGCATGTTAACAAGCAACTGTCACTGTTAGATAAAAACTGATATTATCATTATTGAACTAATATCAATGTCTTGACTGTTAAACATTTGGTGTCTTATTAAACGTAGCTTCATTCTTTTTCATCCGGTTGATAGAAACCAGGCTCCAGTAGGTCTTACAGGGAGGAGTAGATTTAACGAGGAGGATGACCTTGCCTTGGCACTGACCTTTATCAGTAAAACTCCCTTGAGAAAGTCTAGCAATAGCTTTGTCTGATTTAGGGTGCACCTGGAGAAAGTTTAGACACCCTTTTGCAGCTTTATGCCTGAGGGTCTAAGGAATGTCCAAATCTGTGTGCGTTAATCTTTGTGTGTGCTTAATAAATGCTGTCGGAAGGCGTCAGCCTGATGAGAGTGAACTGCAACCCTTGTCTGGTGTGTATTCTTATCCTCTCCACTTTGCAAAGTCTAAATTGATTGTTTATGATTGGTATTGGTGTTGATTGACTGATTACTATAACCCCCTGTGCTTTAAACTGTCCCTAAGGTAATCTTGGATTGATAAAATTACCCAACAGTCACTTTGTTAGGTGTCCCTTATATACAGTGGGTGTTCATAATTATTACAGTTCCTCTGTATTCTCCACTGAGAAAAATATTTAAAATAATAATACATAAACAGAACTGAATGATTGAAATGATGGTTTAGCAACAAGGAATTGTTCATTTATGGCTGAGTTTGTGTTTAAAGGCACGATGTGTAAGAACTGAGTAATAGTGACATCCTGTGGTCAGATTTGGTTACTGCAATCTCGGTTTCTCTGCTGTTGCCAGTTGGGGATAGAAAACTACAGTTTGTATATTTCAACAATCATGAAATACTATCTGTGTTTTCACAATAATGAACTACTTAAAAAAACTGTATACTACACCTTACCAAGTTTATTTCTATAGCTCATTTAAAGAGTAGGACAGCTGACCTAAGTGCTGAGCAAAGATGAAACAAGGGAAAATGGACTGCCAAGTGTCTCAAATTCACCTTTTTAGTTTTTCTGTTCAACATCTGATGTGGCAAAAAACACAATTGGTTTAATCAACTTGGGTTTTGGGGCACACAGGCTTGGTGTGACCTTCCTGTCCACACAGATGGCATACTGGTGTCCCTTCACTAAACTTGGAGGTCGATTTTCCCTTGTGGGGACCTTACCCACACCTGTTGCTGCTCTCTGATGTTGAGGAGGTTGTGGACGATGCATGTTTCAAGCTGCTCTCCACGCTGTGTTACTCCGTGGCTGACTCTTGATTTGGGCTGCCACAAAGACATCCGCCAGGACAGCAGCTTCCGCCGCAGATTTTGGTTGAGGGTTAGGTTTTTTTTTTCCTCATCCCAGAGCAAAAAAGCACCGGCCGTAACAGCAGGTTTTACACTGAGCACACGTGACAACATGACAGAGTCTAGCTGGATCTGAGGAAATAAAAGTGGGTCAGAGTCAGAAACGTCGCCATTGTTTGTGTTTGGTTGCTTTCTCTAAGTGGGGATTGTTTTTGAGGCTGTGGTGAATATCTTCTTTTTTGATATATGTGTTCTAATATTGTCCTTGACATCCATCTTCTTCTGCAGCCTGTCAGTTATCTGTGTTTTGCTTCGTTCAAGTCCAGGAAAACCAGGGGGTGGCAGGGTCAGGGTAGACCAATCAAAACGACCTTTTATACAATGATGATCATACTTGGGGTACTTTTGTTGAAGATATCTTTTTGTCTAATTTGGATTGGTGTCGAAATGGCAGGAATAGGAATCCGATGCGTGCTGATGACGTATGGAAGCCTGCAGCCTGGTGTTACCTTTGCTTTTCCAGCAAAGAGCTGGAAAAGTTGGATGTTTCAGAAAAATAAGATCTGTTATGGAACACACTCCATGAACACATGGTTAACAGGACAATCTAATCTGGGCCTTTTTCTTTTATTTCTTAATTTTGTTTTCTTTCAGTCTTTTTCTGGTTAAATCTGACTCTCCATCCTGAGGCTGATTGAGCTGGAAGTTACTTCCTGTTAGAGTCAGCACCTCTGCAGCCTGCAGATAAATTCATATTCTAAACTGAATTAAAGATGTATTTGTTAGGTTTATGGGTTTTTGAACTACAACTCTTTAATGGCAAATCTTTCAGGATGGTACTGGGGACTGAACTTGGAGTTTTAAAGAGTATGTTCAGTAGCCCATCCTATTTCTGGACTTGCAGTAGCTTATGTATGTGGCTTGTGGTAAACCTTTTTCCAAATGACCTTACAGCTCTTTAAGACTGTCCCGGACAAGCCCCCAATTTATGTCACAACCCAGCTTGTAGGTGACAGTTCAAAATGAAAAGACTTTGTTTAACCCGTCCACTGTCCTAATGAGTGTTAGCCCTCAAGGAAAGTTGACCATTGAGCTGGGTTGGTGGTTTATCCTTTGGGTCCATGTGACAGGGGTGATGAGTGAGCACCACCCTGCCACATGGACCTCAAGGGATAAACCATCAATCCTGCTCAATGGTTAACTGTCCTCGCGGGGTCACCCATAAAGATAGTGGGAGGGTTAAACAAATTAAAACCATTCCCTAAAGCAGCTAAATCAAACAGGTAACATCCAAACCACTCTGCCTCACTAAGCAAGTTTTATGTCTGTCTGTACAGGTGCTGCCAATTAGTGTTTATGTTTATGTTTATGTATTTAGCAGACGCTTTTGTCCAAAGCGACTTACAAGTGATAATCGGCATTTTGCCCTTGAGGCTAACAACAATAGTAACAACAACAAATTGACATCAGTCATGGAGAGGAGGGAACAAGGAGTGGACATTAGAGAGGAGGGATGGGTGCAGACAAGGTGCTAGTTAAGAAGATGCTCTCTGAAGAGCAGGGTCTTCAGGAGTTTCTTGAAAATAGAAAAGGAAGCCGCAGTTCTGGTAGTGCTTGGAAGGTCATTCCAAATTTGTGGAACGATGCATGAGAAAAGTCTGGATTGTCCTGAGCGTGGTGTAGGCACTGCTAGCCGACAATCCTGTGATGACCGGAGCGGCCGGGCCGAGACGTAAGACTTTGCAAGAGGATTCAGGTAGATGGGAGCCGTACCGTCTCGGACTTTGTATGCTAGTGTTAGCAATTTGAATTTGATGCATGCTGCTAGCGGGAGCCAGTGGAGCTCAATGAATAGAGGGGTGACGTGTGCTCTTTTAGGCTGATTGAAGACCAGACGCGCTGCTGCTCTGGACCATTTGAAGAGGTTTCACAGTACAGCCTGGAAGACCAGTTAGAAGAGCATTGCAGTAGTCGAGGCGGGAGATGACAGTAGATTGCACCAGGAGCTGGGTGGCATGTTGTGTTAGGTATGGTCTGATCTTACGTATGTTGTACAGCGCAAAGCAGCATGAACGGGCAACAGAGGCAATCAAGTGCAATCAAGACTAACACAACCACAGCCAGTGAGGGTGTTGAGGGCTGCAATATGGTTTTTATTAGTGCCTTTTCATGTCTTATTGCTAAAAGTGTGATGTCTTTTGTGTGATACTGTTGCTATGCTCTGTTCTTGAGCTGTTGCAATTACGCAAAACACTCCCCACGGGAATGGGTCAAATGTAGAGATGTAGTTGTGAGTGATGACTAATGGGACCTGGGACGTAATTTTGGGGGGGGACGGGTGGGACATGTCCCCCCCACTTTTTCAAAAGGCAGTTTTGGTCCCCTGCATTTTTTTCCGTCCAAAAACAATATTACGCTCCATTAAATGGATTTGGTTGAGCACTAGGACCGAAACGGAAACCGCTTTACTATTAGACCCGCCCAAAAGCTAATCTATTGGCTCTGCTGATACTTGCTAACGTATTATTGGCTGTTGCTGCTGTCACTCAAGTTGTAAACAGTCAGAACGTTCTCACGTTGTTTTGCTAGTTTGGAGCCGCTAGGGAACACCGGTACTGAGTCACATCGTCAACTAGACGCTGTGTAATATCAGAGCTCAGCTCAGCTTCCATTACATAACATTTGAATAAGTGTTCATTTGTGAGTCTTTGGTAGTTAGGCACAGCCAGGAGGCAGCATGTCAAGAAAACGAAAAGTGGATATAAGAGACTTCTTTCAAAGTCAAAACGTAAGTTGGACATGTGACAGACCTGCATTAAGCTCAGACTCACCTCCTCCTTCACACACATACTCAAAACTAACTTTTACAAACTCATCTCCTCCACATAACTGACTCCTCAGACACAATTTATTCGTATTATTATAATTATTATTTTTTTTATTATTACTATTATCATCATAATTATTATTACTAGTAGTAGTAGTAGTAGAAGTGTAACTTCAAAACTTTTATCATTTAACTTTATTGTAAACTTATCTATTGCAATGTATATTTTCACATTAAAAAGCTCTGAAAAATGAACAGTATCATCATCGTCAACAGATTTTTTAAGCTTAATGTCAAAGATGTACACTTTTCATTAGATTTATCTTATTTTTTCCATTTATTTTTTGTGTGTTGAAATGCAACAACTGTTTAAACACTTTTAAGGGAAAAACATATTTAATATGTTTTTATACACTCAAATGTTAGGGTGATGATCATGTGTAAAACATTAGTTCAGCATGTCCTCTAACACAGCAAATGAACAAACGGCCAGATCTCAGGAGGGACCGTTTATGTATAAATAATTTTTATACTTTTGACTAGGCCTGGGAAAGTAACACATTTTGCTGGACGATATTTTGTCCAACAAATTGTTGATGATAAACGATATTGTCAACATTATCTAGACCAAAATAACCACTAATATAATGTTAATATATCATAATAATGCAAGTACACCCTTTAAAATGCAACAAAGAAACCTTCATTTAACATTGAAATGTCCAGAACCAGAACTTCTAAATGAATAAAAATAACAAACAAAAATTAAATAAAAAAGGAATCTCACTCCCTGTTAGAAAATGTTGCACCAAAAACAATAAAAAAATA